CGTCGGACCGGTGCGCGTCTTCCGCCACTAAACGGTGGTCCAAGCATTGCATTCTTGTATTGCTTTTCGCCCCATCGATCCCCGGATGGGTCGGTGGTTTCCGCTTGAAGACCCACCGAATTGTAGCTTCGATTTTAGGTGAAATGCATATTTTGGGTCCGCGGTTTTCCGATTTTGGTTCCATTGTAGTGGTTTCTAGGTTGTCGGGTATGATAGATGTGGAGCTATCGGTTTTCGGTGGGATTGGGATGAGGGATGTTAACTATTGTGTGTTTGGCTATCTCGACGGTGGGTGCGAAATCGGTCTGCTCGGTGGTGACGACGGTGGGTTGGCTTGTCATTGCGGGGAAGGAGGTTCGCGTGGGTATGTTGGTGGGAAGGGATGGAGAGCAATAGGCATGTTGATGGTCCCGGCCTTGTTGGGTTTGGGGAACGTTGTGGCTCATTGGGCTAGTTAACTGTGTTATTGGGTCGTTTTGTGCTGACTTTTTCGCCCATGGCTTATCTCGGCCCACTATCTCCGCTTTTCTCTTGGAGGGAACATTCACTGGGTCCTGTGCCTTTGCCCTGTTTCCGGGTTGGGCCTTCTTCTTCACTGGAGCTTTACCTGAAGAAAAACCAATAGATGGGTCAAATTGGTTGTTAATGATCGGAAGAGCACTTACTGGCATCGATTTTCCATTTGGTCGTGGTTGAGACGCCGATGGTTCCTGTGTCAGATTAGCCAGCAGGGCAAACGGGTTCGACTGAATTTGTTTCGCCTTTTGTCCTTTCTGACTGGAAACTTCGTTGGGGTGGCCTCCAAGATTTCCGCCGAAGATCGGCCGTCGACCCCTCTTTTGCGCGTAACTCCACTCGCCGATGTTGGGGTTACGTTGTGTTGCCTGGGATGTGCGCCACTTTTTCTGGGTCGGATGTTACCGTTGTTGTTGTCCCAGTCACATCTCTATGACCGTTATTGGGCTTAGGCTCTGTCGTTGGGTCGTTGTTGTTTGCCACCGTGTTAGAGTCCGGGGAGTTGACCGGATATACTGTGCATTCCTCAGCTGTGTGGCCGTACTTCCCACAGGTAAAGCAGATTCTCCGCAAATCTTCATATTCTACAGTGTATGTCTTTCCGTCCAGCTTAACTTTCCCCACCAATGGCTTCGTAAGGTCCAGTTCCACTGCTATTCGGGCGTACCTCCCTCTTTCAGCCAACAGAGTATTCTGATCTGCTTTAAGATATCTTCCCAGTGGTTTTGCGATATCCCTCAGCAGATCCTCATGGAAGTAGTGAACCGGGAGAGCCGGAATTCTCACCCAGGCTGCCACCGCCTTTAGATTCTCTGCTTTCGGGTCAAAATCAATCTTCCAAGGGAGGACTGTGATATAGTGGTCCACAATTGTCCACGGACCATTTAGTAGGGCGTTGTAGTAGTCTTCCTCATGGGACATTCGAATAACATGATAGCCGTCAATTGAGTCGACGAGATGAATATTCCCTCTCGGTTTCCACAGAGCCATACATCTTTTTTCAATAGCAGCAAACGTGAAATTTCTCCCTAGGGGTCGCACTACAATCGAGTACGACATGGCTCGTTCCATCTTTCGTATGACGCGATCCGCAAATTGAATTGTCGGCATGCCGTCTTCAACAGAGTAGGACACGTCTCCTGGGCCAGTAGTAACTTTTTCCAGGTGGAATCCTCGGTGTTTTGTGGGTTGCTCACCCTGCAGGAGTGTTTCCTTGAAGGAAGGTACATTGGATTTGATTTGTTCACCACCATTAACTCGGGTGGCTTCGTTTGGTTGAGCTGTCTCCAATTGCTCGTTGCTGGTTCGGTTGTTTGTAGGGGGATCACCCGTATCGTGGTCCATAGGACGAGATCCCTCTGCCTCCATTTCCATGGAGGGCAGGGGAATTCGGACACTGCTGCTGTAGGGAGATTTTATGGATCTAGAGAGAGAGAATGGTAGTTCAATGGACTTTTTTACAATTAGCTGTTTTTAAAGGTTGTTCCCCCGAAATGTGCCTTCCCACGTAAACTCCATGTCCACCAGAATCTTTATGGATGCAACACCTTTCTTGTCGCTTTTTCTTCTTCATCAATCTTTCTTTTCTTTTTTCTTTTTTTTTTTCTAATGTATAATATAAATTAAAAAAAGGTTGTTCAAAATATCGAGACCCGAGAGCACAATGAAGAGGTTGTTAGAACGTTGTTAATATATTGTTGCAGATCTGAATTTTTTTTTTTTTGTCGTCAGAATTATTGAAAATGGACCATTGACAGTGCAGCAGATTTCATTAATCTCAATAACAACAATCTTTTTACTCTTTAATCCCAATGATTCTGATAATACGACTAAGTTGACCGTATGAATGTATGGACGATAAATAGTGATAACTTCAAATTTCAATGATTACATTTTGATTTGTTCATATCTTTAACAGGGTAAAGCCTCCAATTTGACTAATTCCAAAAGTAAAGAAAGAGCAAAGGTATAAATATAATTTACTCATCATTATATAAGGCGGTGAGAAAAGAAAAAATTAAAAAAAAACATATTTGAAAATCCCTCCATCCCAAAAAGAATTTTAACTGAACTTTTGGAGCTTCACTAATTGCTGCTGCTGACTTAGTAAAATGAAATTTCGATGTTGCTTAATTAGCCGTCGCAACTTTGTCACATCCCCTAACTCAGCTGCTAAACTTCATAAGATTATCCCATTCCCATACATAATGACGGATTTGTAGAAAAGTAAGAGCATGCATCCGACGGTCAGAAAGTCAAGTTAATATGGGTGATCGTTTCAAATTAAACCATATCAATTTGCAGTAACATACTATTTACATGACCAGCACCAACAAAGGAAGGAATATTCTAACAAGAATTGTATGTTATGATCCAGTTGTTTTACGCAGTTGATATACACATCGAGTCATATTTGAATGAGGTAAATGTTTTATCCTTACAAGTTACGTAAAAGAGGAAGGCAAAAATCACTTCAAACTATTTGCTTTCTCTTAAGGTGTGAACATTATTTCAATGCATTATGTACGTAAACAATGTTTAATCTGGATCTTGCTCAATTTAGTTTTTGCTTTTAACACTATAAAGCACAAGGTAGTAGACAGCCTGCTTGCAAGTTGCAGTATTTTTTTTTTTTTTTTTGGTTAACAAAGGTACACTAAGTTATATCTCTTAGTGCGTATCTCAAATTCTTACAGATTCATTCTCCACAAGTAGGGAAATACATGACGGGATTACATCAAAATAATATACACCCCTAGCTAGACTAAGCGTCTCTTTTGCTAAACAATCAGCGCATTTATTTTTAACTCTAGGAATATGCAAAATACGGACCTCTCAAGTTCTTACAGTATTTTGCAACTTAAGACGGACAATGTTCTAACGTACTGCCGAATAGGGATCCGATGCTAGAGATAAATCATATTCACCGGGAAGCCAAATTTATAACCGATTATTTGATATCTATGGTGGGAGCGAATCCAACTGGTTTGATCCGACTAGATTCGCCATCACTAAGATCTATTTTTTTTTTTTTGGTTTTTTGGAAAAGATACACTTATTAGATTAGAGTAAAGATCCTAAACTATTACATAGCATCTTATAGTAAACTATATTATGCACTTCCGATATATATCTGATTACTAACTTTAAACAGTTCACAATAATCAAATGCATCTATAAGAGAATTAAAAGAAGTACCCAAAAAAAGTACAACCTCTTGAACTTCAGTCGAAATTTGTGTATCCCTAAAATTATTTGTTAAAAATTTACCACCAGGAGCTCATTGGTGGCTAAAACACGATGTATTAAGAATCTCGGACCCTAGATTTGTAGTCGTGTAATTCAGATTGTTACAATCCCCTTTTGAATAAATTTTTTTTTCTTAATTTTGGGAGCCTGTTAATTTAATTTAATTTTTACTTTTTCTTTTATTGTGTTTTTACATGTGTCTACCTGAAATGTAAACATCTTGATGGTAGTGCTTGTCTTTCGTTCAATTTGTATACCATATTTTGGGTCAAAAGTTGGGCCAGATTTAGATTAAATGATGGAGAATATCCCCTTTGGGCTAACACTTCAAACCTGTGCTACTCAACTGCAGTCCACTACACTGTTTCAAAAAAAAAAAAAGAAATGGTCCACTACACTGTTGTATCACTTTTAAGTTTTAACCTTTTTTTTTTCCCATATAAACCAAGATGTCTCCGAATTTTCATGGTGACTAACCAATTCGCTGAGTTGAAATTATTTTTAATAATCTATCCGGCTCGAATCCGGATTAGTCGGAGCAATGACTTTAAATACCGGTGTGTAATATACTAAGAAAAGAAATTATTTTTGATAAATAAAATAGTTGACCAAAAGAATTTAAATTTTCCTAATGGACGAATCCATTACACTCAACAGCTATGTCCCATTTCCTTAAAACTAATCATTGTCCGTAACGTTTGTACCTCCTAAAAAGTAAAACTGAAATAACTTATCTATCCTGTTTCAGTTTAACTTGAAAATCAGACTATGAAAAGAAGACAAAGAGTCTATTTACAAATAACGTACATACTTGTACATGGATGTATGTATATTGGAGGATTGAAGAAAAGTATAGGATAGCAAGGTCATACCCACAAAAACATATCGGATGACCTTGAAAGCCAATTGATTATTTTATTCCTGCATTCACCAAAACTCTCAATTTCGTCCGTCGAAACTCAAGATTTTTTAGCATGACATTCAAATAATTCCTACGCGTAATACATATTGTAGATCGATCTGTTTCGTCATACCTTCATGTATGTTTTTATTGTCATCTATTTATATTTCCGATTGGTTGTCGCTCTAAGGTTCTCATCTGTTCCAACAAACTATTTATAAAAAATTAGACTAGTTGATTTGAGTTGATAAACTGAAATTGCAACCATTTTATGACTAAAATACCTGCTCTTAATTATAAATAGCAAGTAATAAGCTTATATCCTCATCCTCCCATTAGAGAAGCTACAGAATCAGCAGAGATGAAAAGGCTCGTTCTTCTAGTCATTTTGACAACATTGTTCAATAGTCATGTCCAATCACAAGATGAAGTTACGAAATGGGCTAAAATAGTGAAGAAGGGCAAAGAAGAATTGGTGACTTATAAATTGGAATTTTATTTCCATGATATATTCACCGGGAAAAATCCTAGTGCTGCTAGGATAGCCGAAGCTTCGGTCACCAATTCTTCCAAGAATCTATTCGGGGCGGTCTTCATGGTGGATGACCGGTTGACTGTTGGACCGGATCTGAACTCGAAACTTGTCGGCCGGGCCAGGGGAATGTACGGGTCAGCGGGTCAGAGTGAGGCGGACATTATCATGATGATGAGCTGCATGTTCTTAGATGGGATTTACAACGGGAGTTCTTTTAGCGTTATGAGTATCAATCATGTCTTGAACCCGGTTCGTGAGATGTCGATAGTTGGTGGTACCGGTTTGTTTCGGTTGGGTCGAGGATATGCGATTCTTCGGACTTACTCGTTCGATTCGACCACGGGTGACACCGTAGTGGGCTACAATGTCACCATATCAGCTCCTGCTGAATAAATTCGCAATTTTAATATTGTTTAGGTGCAACCGATTTTTCTTTTAATTGTTTTCTCTCTCTCTCTTTTTTTTTTTTGCCTTTCAGTCCTCTTCATACGCGCCAATGAATTGGCCTTTCAATTTAATCTGTCGTGTTAACCATATCATGAACATTTTCTTCTTCTTCTCTTTCTTTTTTTTTTTTTTTTAATTTTCCTCATCCAGCCGCGTATGACGTACTTATAATTTAACAGGTAACTAGATGCTTGCCCCCGGCAAATGTTCGGGAGCGTCCCACCTAATAAATTGACATGTAAATAATCAAAACTGATTAGGAATGAATTTATTTTTTTATGACAATATACCGAAAATTAATTTTTTCAAAAGTCCTAAATAAATGGAGAAGGAAAATTTCATACACTGTCAAATTTAAAATTTGAATGAACATGGCCATCTGATCTCTTCGTTAATATTGTAAATATATTTTTTATTTTTAAAAGGATGTGACACGTGGCAGAATGATTTATGCAATATGGTGCATTTGGAGCCAAAATATTTTAATAAAAAATTGCCACATCAGCATCCTGTTTTCTGCTTTAATAGGGTAAAAGGGATTATGATAAATAGATTTATTTATTTTGTTAATACGATCGACGAGGTCAAAAAAAAAAGAAATACTCTGCACTGTATCTTGGTAAAAAAACATGTAAATAACAGTGTCTTGACCATAAAGACTCACACGGTGGATCGTGAAACTAATAATTTAACTAAAAACATGTACTCCCTTCGCATTTGGCAAATGATAACCCTGCAGCACCGTATCTAATCTTGGAAGGAGTCCTCCTGATAAATTGCCAAAAATTAAACGACGAACATGCACGCAAGAGACAATTTGGTAATACAATCCCCCCAAAAAATTATTTTATTTTATTGTTTCTATTTGTAGTTTGAAAAAAGTGTTAAATTGGTTTTCCAGCCCGCCGAAATAAATAACAAAGTTGGGAAATAAATTAGCGAAGCAATTGTTTGTGTTTCTCATCTGCGCAACTTTAGTTCTTATCTAAATTACATGTGACACATGACACGTCTCACAACCTCGTGTAAGCATACATTTTCATCAACCTCCAAGTGTCACCTTGTAAAACTAAACGTGGCGCATATCCTCTTCTAATTACTTAAACATTAGTATTAGTATCTACGTACCACTTGTTTATAAACATTATTATCAAATCTCAAGTCCCTGAGTACCTTACAAGAAGTACGTGCCATTAGTTAAAGATTAAGGGGGTGAAAAAAATGCAGAGAGCAAAAGAAGCTGCTTCGAATGTTGCCGCATCAGCAAGGTCCGGCATGGAGAAAACCATGGCCGCCGCTGAGGAAAAGGTCAGTCGAAAAATCTTAAATGCATAATTAATGAAGCACCAACATATAAGATTAATAAAGAAAAATATGGATTTCTATAGTCCATTTAAATTTTACCTATATTACATAATAGTAGTAATTAATATTGGTGTTTGACATTGGAAGGCTGAGAAAATGAGCACCATGGACCCTGCGAGGAAGGAGATGGCGGAGGTGAAGAGAGACCAGAGGACCCGTGAGGCGGAGCTTGAGAAGCAAGCCGCTTACGACCAGAACGCTGCCGCGAAACTGGCGGCTCAAGGAGGAAGAGGTTACGGGGTTCACACGGCAGCTGCACCCGGAGAACACATCCACGGCGGTCAGGGCTACACCACTGCCGCCACAGGACGTCATCCCGCAACCGGTGTGTTGGACCCAACCGGGATGGAAACGCCGGGGGTTGTGGACCCTGATACGGTCCGGAGGCACGATGAAGGTAAAAGGGTTGGGGTGCAGGATCCAAATGTTGCTGGGGGTACCACCACTGGTTATGGAGCCGGTTCAACTGTTTAAACCTAGTTCACCTTTGTTCAAAACTTATAAGACTTCTCGCTTTTTATTGTACTATACACTTTTTTCTTTCCTAAATACTCTCCCCGGTTCTTAATATAAGGCATTTTGATTTATCTTAATTTAGATTTATCTTAATTTCGTACGTATTTCTAATTAAAAAAAAACTTAAAAATATTTCATAACGATCAAGATAACGGTTAGGAGTACGACGAATGTGAAAATATATTTTTAATGTTTTTTATCAAATAAATATGTATAATAGGTGAAATTTAGGATAAATAAAAAATAACTTATATTAAGAACGAGACGGAGTATTGTATATACTCTGCATCCTTTTAAGAAAGGATAGGATTGTGTTTTACATATATAGATAGAAAGTGTGGATAGGTTTGCAGGCAATACTTTTGAAAAATATTAAAGCTTTGTTTGGATTAGTTTTTCACTTTTTGTACCGTAAATTTAAGTATATTAATAAATATACTATCAAAATTCAAACCACTTTTTTATGGACTTTTTTTTTGGTATATTTTTTTTATATTTCTAACATAAGAAAATATAGATTTATCATATATTTTACACCCTAACACAAAAAAAGTAATTTGTAGTCTAGCTTTCACTCTAGTTGTTCAATAGTACTATTTCCGTACAAAGTAAGAATCGAAATTGTTCTTTAAAATTCGTTCTATACGGATCAAAATACACACATGAATAATTTTACAAGAAAAATTGATAAGAAACGATTGTTACCATTTATTTTCTATACTTAGGGCTTCTAAATTTAGGGTTAGGGAGAATCAAATAATTGACACACCGTTTATTATTCTTTTTTAATTCTAAGTTTGGTTTTTTAGTTTTCTTCTATCTCTACTCTAGGAAAATATAATACAATCTGTTATTTTAATTATTCTTGCGAAATTTAACATTCTATTGCGTTTCAAAGAAATTTGCATCAACATGATGTTACAACTGTAGTATTTCTCCGTAACATAATAACATAGGTTTCATTTGGACAAGAGTTTTAAAAAGATTTTTAAGGCTAAAAAGTCTGTTTAGAGTTTAAAATGCGTTTGGACAAAATAATTAAAGTCTTTTCTAAATATCAATTTGAAAAAAAGAAGGTATGAAATAGAATTTTTTGAAAATAGGTAGGGGAATATTTTTCAATTTTTTGAAACAGTCTTTTTAGCTCCGTTCACGGGTCATAATCCGGGTCGAAAGCGGGTTATAAAAAATCGGGTCATGAATATCATTAACAAGACTAAAAAAAAAAAAAAACGAGGTGCGTTACACGCGATGCGCGGTTCCCCTCCCTTCCCATCTTTTCCTCACTTCTCACACTGTTGTAGTCGCCACTTTTCTTTTTAATTTTTATTTATTTTTAATTTTATCCTGTTTTTTCAAATAATTATATCTTTTAATATATAAATATTTAAAAAACGTGCTATATATCAAATTAATCTATGCGGCGAGATCTTTCTATTAGGAACCATTGTTAATATTTTTGGAATTAAAAATTTCATTCAAATTTATAAATCAAAATCACTGTATGTATTGTTTAACTAATATGTATATGAAAAGGTAAATTATTTTTTTTACCAAAAAAGTAGTTTTGAAAAAGACTTAATCCAAATGGCTTTTTCATATTTTTAATTCGTAAAAGGTTTTGAAAAATTCTTGTCCAAATGCATTATTTTTCAAAAATTACTTTTTCAACTTTTGTTTCAAACAGACTTTTTTGAACAACTTTTCAAAACTCTTGTCCAAATGGAGCCATAGTTTCGGGTTATGTTTTTTACCATTGTACTAAAAAATAAAAAAGAAATTTGCATCTTTGTGGGCATGAAAAGGTGATATATAGCTTAAGGTTGTAATTATAGAAAATTTTGGATTAAGAGCAATAGGGAGCATTTAATTGATAAAAGGAGTATAAGTTGTACGTAATATAGATTAAAAACAGTAAATTATTTTCTCAAAATAACAAAATTAAATTTTATACACACTACTATACTTGTCCTTGACTCATTTGACTCTATCACATTGAACTAGGGAAAAAAAACCCAAACCCCTTCTTCATTCTCTCCAGCCGCATTTCATCGAGCAAATTCTTTCACCAGACGTTAATCTGTCGTCTAATTTGGGAGGTAATCGAAGCAAATTGATTCATAAAATTGGCGCTGATCAATTCATTTCTACTCTTCCGGGTGATTAATTCAATTTAAGTAAATGAACCTAGAACTGTTAATGTATGAGCATATCCCCTGCCAGAAAAAGTTGATGACAATAATCCACTACCATTTGAGCCATGTTCGTCTTTGCAAATGGTTTAAAAGAGAGTTAGTTGGTTCTTCATAAATTTTTATTTTAACAATCATATTGTACTACTCTATTATTTCTGAATTAGAAGTATGCTTAAGATCCCTTGACTGAAAGAGAACAAAATAAATTGGTCACTACCAATTTTATAAGCCAAATTGCTATGATCACCTTGCAAAATGCCGATAGATTCAAAATGAAGGAGATGAAACGCGGCTGGAGAGGATGAAGAAGGGGTTTGGATTTTTTTTCCCTAATTCAATGTGATAGGGTCAAAAGAGTAAGGACAATTACAGTAATGCATATAAAATTTACTTTTATGCTTTTGAAAAAATATTTTTCTGCCCTTAATTCATATTATGTAAAATTTATACCCTTTTTATTAATTAAAAACTCCCTACTACTCTTAATTCAAATTTTCCCTGAAATCTATATTTGTTGGTCACGATTCTAACCCCAAAGGAATGTTTAAACTTCAAAATGTTGTAGAGATTATCTTTGGGGAATAAAAGAAAATGGTAAGAGTTGTTATTTGATATCCTGGAATGATATTTGTAGGAAGAAAACTGAAGGAGAAGGAGGCTTAAATGTAAGAGAACTTGGAAGTTGGAATAAACCTTTGCTAGGAAAGCAAATATGGCAATTGGCCGAAAAGAAGGAGAGCTTGTGGATTAAATGAAAAAGATTGGCGTTCGCACCCAAAATTATATGTGTGGTCAATGTTATTTTACTTTACCGGGTAAAATAATATTGACCACACATATAATTTTGGTTGGTCAATTGGACAAAGAAATACTTTTGGTTAGTCTCTATTGTTCTATTATATAAATTTTTTAATCAATTTTATCCAATTGGCCCAATTTCCATTCAATATAATGAATTTTATTAGTTTTAATAACAAAAACACGCTAATATTTTTGAAAGTTATAAAAATGACACTAAAATATGTAATTAATAATAATAAAACAGTTCCTTTTCACTTTTTATTTTTTTTCTTTTTCTTATTTCTCTTTACTGCTTTACATAACTATGAAAATATACTAAATGATCTTTAAAAAAATATTTATTTATTTTAAAATCTAACGTACAATTTATATTTACAGTTCATTTTCTCTTTGCTGATCTCATGGTTGACTTATATAAATATATGAATTCTTTTAATAATATGATTATATTGTAACGATACTATGTTTTTGATCCGTTTTTTTTTTCCTAATCTGTAAAATAAGATTATTTAACTATAGTTTTGGAAGTCTCTTGAAACTTTCTTCTTTGGTGATCTTTTCATTGTTTTGCTTATTAATAAATAGGTTTTAATTACTACATCAACGAAACTATCATTCACTTACTAAGATTATTCAATTATTGATTGTCATACTTTTTATAAAAAAAAATAGTTAAAAAGTAAATTTACTTTAACCGGGGTATTGAAGCAAACTTCATGTACAACATTTATACTTTTCGTATTAAAGAATTTTAGAAGTGGATTTATCGTTAATGATGGGTTGAATTAAGAGAGAAAGATAAAATGTCGTAACTACAAAAGTGAAATTAAATCTCATCAAGAATAATAAAAAAGTGTTAAAAAGTTGAAATCAAACCTTTTTTTTTTTTTTTGGTACGGAGTTGAAATCAAACTTTGATGAAATTAAATGTATTTACATATTTGTGCTAGAGGGCCGTTCTCAAACAGATTTTTCTTTCCTTTTTTTTTTTTTTTTGGATCCTTCGTCAAGATAGATCTCTAGATAATATTTGAAAATCCTCTACATTCATACCTGAGGCTAAAGTGATTCATCAAGGAAAATTGGGACTTTTTTATTTTGTTTATGAGAAAACTGAACTGTTTTTTCTTTTTTTTTAATTTTTTTTTTCTGTGTAAATCTTTAAAAAAAATATTTGAGGAACAATTCAACTAGTTGAATTTCTCGTGTTTTAGACCATAGCTATAACTGATATAATCGGTGCTTTCTATTTTCCTTTTCGTTATATATATATTAATAGTTTAAACTTTTTCTAATGCGTTGTGCACTGATGTAACCTTGTGTCATCAATTCCGAATAAGATTATACTTTAAAAAAATGATTTTTGTTATACTTTTAAGATGAAGGAAAGATATATAGTAAATTTTTACGTGTATTTTACATGTATTTTACGGGTAAAAAGATTGATTGTTAGTTTTTTAATGAAACTCTTAATGAAAAGCGAATGAAAACACTATTTAAACTTGCGATGTTATAAAATTTTAGTTTTGAATTAATATATGGAGCAAATTTTTTGGTAATTTTATAGTAGTTTATTGTATATTTATTTTAGTTTTTTTTTTAATATTTAAACGCCCCTAATTTCAGTATTTCTTTTAGACCTCCGAAAATATTGAATCGCTCCTGCATTTAATTGATTGTCTCTTTCTATTTATGATCATTTCATTTTTTTTATTAGATGCAATTTTAAACATCATATAACATTATACTCATATGATATCATTGCTCTCTCTTCCATTATTGCACTATGATTCCTGGAAGACCCTTCAAGAAGCTTGTTCAAGGAGAGCTCTCGCCACGGGTATCTCTCGAATGAAGTAAAACATAAAATCTTTATCGTAGTTGTATCGAGCAATGGCAGAATAGTATTAAGTTTAAAAAAATGTTTTGTTAAAATGTATAGCGATTATTTAAAATTTTCTTCTCAAATTTGGATGCAGCCATCTTCCGACATAGAATAACAGGGAGACATTGGCATCAGAGAAGGAGGTGAAGAATCTGATTCTACAAGTAGTGAAGGAGAGGACAAGTCAAGCTAGTGTTGGTGAAAAATATTTATTACAAATGGTGATTGAAGGAGCCAAAAAGAGTGACTTTGTAAGGATGAAATGGACCAATTTATTGTAGAAAATTGCAAAAATATTTTATTCGGCTGGCTACGAAACAACTGTTATTTTGGCCGCTTAGTGTCTCATAGTCTTAGCTACCAATCCTGAGTGACGAGAATGCATCAGGCCCGAGGTTACTGATATTTGCAAGGGCCAAATCCCCGATGCTGAGATGATCCATACAATGAAACAGGTACTTTTTTTTTGTAATATTTGATATACTCAGATTATAGGAAAGGAAGTAATAGCTTGATTACAGTTGATGATTCTGAGTACGTATATAGCAGAGGTTCAGTCTAGAAGATAACCTCTGAAGATAACTACAACAACTTCAGTATAATATCATCTATGAAGATAATATACAACAGAAAATAAATACTACAACATGATAACTACTATGTTGACACGCCCCTGCAAGCTGAAGTTGGGAAAGAGAGCAACCGAAGCTTGTCTAAAAATTTCTGAAAAAGATGTTTAGCCACTGGTTTGGTTAAAATATCAGCGAGTTGATCTGCAGCTGAGATGGAACGCACGAGAACAAGGTCCTGCTGAACGAGATGCCGAATGAAGTGAAAATTGACTTCGAAATGCCAAGTGCGCGCTCGATAAATCGGATTGGCAGCCAAAAATACTGCTCCGTTGTTGTCACACCAAGTGGTTGGCGGCCGCTGCAATGGGACTCCAAGTTCAGTAAGCAAGGAACGTAACCAATGCAATTCGACACACACATTCGCAATAGAGCAAGAGTCGGCCTCAGTGGATGACCGTGCGGCCGTTGGTTGCTTGCGGGAAGTCCAAGAGATCAAGTTTGGACTAAGATATATCAGGAACCCAATAGTAGACTTGCGATTTTTAGGGCAGCCGGCCCAATCGGCATCCGTGAAAACATTAATGGTTTTGGACGGGAAAGATTGTAGAAACTGTCCCTGATCAGTAGTCCCACGCAAATAGCGTATAACACACTTGAGAGCTTGAAGATGCACTGAGGTGGGATGATGCATAAATTGACAGAGTTTATTCTCCGCGAAGCAAATATCTAGGCGAGTGATTGTGGCATATTGAAGGCTGCCACATAATCGCCGATAAGTAGCAGCATCATCCGGGGATAAAGAATAATCGTCCTGTCGAGATAAAACCAAGCCCGCGACCATAGGAGTAGAGCATGGATTGCAAGTTGCCATATTGGCAGATTGAAACACATCCATCAAGTACTTGCGTTGAGATAATACAATGCCATGGGGGTGATGGAGCACTTCGATGCCAAGAAAGAAGCTTAAGCGCCCAAGGTCGCGAATAGAGAACTAAGCACCAATTCGGCTGATAATGCTTCAAACAAAGGAGGCATTATTCCCTGTAGTGATCACATCATTACATAGACAAACAGGAAGCACACACATGTAGGCGAGGAATATATAAACAGAGATGGATCACACTTAGAAGCCCTGAATTTCAACGAAAACAATAAGGAACTGAGACAGGAAAACCACGCCCGAGGTGCCTGTTTCAGCCCGTATAGAGACTTGTGAAGTTTACACACATAATTCGGGCGTTGGGGATCAATGAAACCCTGGGGTTGCACCATGTATATAGTCTTCTGTAGGTCCCTGTTTAAGAATGCATTGCTAACATCGAGTTGTGATAACAGCCAGGAATGAGCAACGACCACCGAGAGGACAGCCCGAATGGTGATAGGTTTAACAACTGGACTGAGGGTATCGGTATAATCAACACCAAAGGTTTGAGTGAAGCCTTTAGCCACTAACCGGGCTTTGCATCGATCAAGGCTGCCATCCGGATTAGTTTTGACTTTGTATAACCACCGGTTGCTAACAACATTAGCAGAGGGGGAGGAGGAAGAAGGGACCGGGTTTGATTTTTATGGAGGGCTTTGATTTCCTCAAGCATGGCTTGTTGCCAGTGAGGTTGTGACTTTTCTTGGGAGAAGGATCAAGGAGCTACGGGTAAAGCAAAAGAGAGGGCAGTGTGGTGAGCAGATTTTGTCTTTGCGAGAGTTGTTGGTCGCAGGGACATTTGATGCGTGCGACCGAGAGGAGGAGGGTTAGGGTTAGGATTAGAGGGAACAAATAAGATGTTATTCAATTTTAAATGAGATGAGAGGTAGGAAGGAGAGAGTGACCGATATGTGTGATGGGAAGAGATCACCATTGCCAACAGTGAGTTCATCAGATCCATGATACTCGTTGGAGATACTGAGGGAAGAGAGATCAGGGGTAGCATGATGAGTTGCACCGGAGTCAGGATACCAGGGATTGCGAGTGGCAACCGGAGGAGAAGTAGTCAAATAGGCCTGAGCAGCGGGAGTGGGAAGTAAGCCATCCGAGGGGCCTGTTAGGGTTTGAGTGCAGGGCACAAAATTGTGATCGAACCTTCTGCGACAAGAGGAAGCAAGGTGATTAGAGGAACTACATATCTGACAAGCAGTACCTGAAGGGTTGGCTGGAGGAGCGACAAAACCGCATCTCCCACCATGGTTACTACGGCCACCGTGAAAACCACCACGATTGAAACCACGGCCTCGTTGCAAGGAGGAAGATTGTGCAATATTGGCCATTGGAACAGCCGGCTGTTGAGCTTTAAGAAACAATTTATAAGAGACCAATTGGCTATGTAATTCCGGAAAGTCAACGGGCTCAGATATCTGGTGAAGAGCACCAATGATGCCGTTGAAATCAGCACCCAATTTGCGGAAGATGAGAGCATTAAACTCTACTGGAGGAATGGTATGACCAGCCATAGCCAAAGAATCTGTAAGCACCTTAGCTTTATACAGAAGCACAGAAACGGAGAGATCATCTTTGTTTAAGTTGTGGAGTTCAAAGATAATCTGTGTATTGAGCATTGGACAAGAGACCATGGGATTGTGCAAGGATAGTCCAAGCTTCAGCAGCAGTTGAAACAGATTGAAGGCAGGGAAAGATGGATTCAGAAATTGAAGAAAGAATCCAAGAGAATAAGAGTTGATCTTTTTGCTGCCAACTAGTGTACTCAGGATTTGGCTACGGATGTTGAGTAACAGGGTCGAGAATCGTCAGAGAGGGACCAGATTCAGAACCATCCATGAAGGATTGTAAATTTAGCATTTTGAGGAGAAGAAACTGAAGCTTCCAGCTAGCGTAATTCTAGCGAGAAGAGAGCTTTATGAAAATTGGGTTATTATTATCTTATCATTTTATAAATTTTTTTTTACGTTTTGTACTGCTCTCAAGTTGGAACCAGAAAAGTATTAATTATAATTTACTGACGTTATAGTGTATATCTCACAATTCACGACCATTGAGAATGCACATGGGTCAGATTTCTTCGTCATTTAGAAAAATGTCAAATTCGTTAACGTAAACTATTTTACTTGGAAACGTGTCGCCACCTGGTGTTACCATTCACCACCTAGTCATCAAACGTGGCACTTCTCTCTCCTATCCATCCACCCTATAAAACCAAGCAATTAAACTGCTGCAGTTCAAACTACTTCAGTAATCAGATCCATCTCAACTTTAGTTGTAACCCGACGTAGAAGTTTTATAGTTTAAGGCAATCAAAGGAAATTTAATTTAGCTCTTCAGAGTGAGAAACGGGAAAAATGCAGAGGGCGAAGGAGGCTGCTTCCAATGTTGCCGCGTCAGCCAAGTCCGGCATGGAGAAGACCAAAGCCACCATGGAAGAAAAGGTAATCCTAATGATGCGCGCTATTAATAAATTTGAATAGAATTAAAAGCCTTTATTTTGAAGATATTAATACTAATTTTGTTCCAGAAAAATTAGATAACTTAATGTTTAAAAATTAGAAAATTAATCTAAGGTTTCCATCATGACTAGTTATTAACTTAATAAATTTTAAGATTTTGATTTTTGAAATTAGACTTGTTTTTTTTTTGGGACGGAGCGTATCTTTGCTATAACGTATTCTGCTATTGCGATGATGATTTGAAGGCTGAGAAGATGGCTACGCGGGACCCAGCAAGAAAGGAGATGGCGGCGGAGAAGCGCGACGAGAGGTACCAAGAGGCGGAGCTTGGAAAGCAAGGAGCTTACGATCAGAACGCCGCCGCGAAACAGACTCGCGGCGTGGGTCAAGGCTTCACAACTGGAGGAGGGCGAGCCGGGGAGGACTATCCTGCTGGTGGAACCGGCGCTTTTGAGGGAGCTCAGTATCCTTCCGGTGCCAACACCGGGAGTAGAGCCACCACTGGAACCACCGGCACACACGGCACTCGCCGGCCCTCCGATGATGAGCCTGATATCGTGACTCCTAATGTTGGTTTCGATGCTGGTCCCACTTTTTAGGGCTGTGTGCTACCATCTAGGATTTCATCATATGTTTGTGGTCATCAGCACTGTTCACATAAACAGCTAGCTTTTTACCCCTAAAATAAAGGACTCTTCCAGTCTCTTGGTGTTTTTCTGTTGGTTAGGCCGACGTTGTTTATCCCGTCTTGTACAATTTAATAAAACGGTGCGATGGATTCACATTACATATGAATATATGATAACCCTAATTCATCTTTCAATCGTGTTAATTTTGACGATTAACCAAGTCCATTATTTGTTTTTGGTTGGTAGTCTACAGTCTGATCATAGTGGTTGTTGGAGTCGAAATTATTTAATTTGTCCACGAAATTCATCTATTAAATTACTTGATCTTGGCTCCAGTTCAAATTCTAAGGTTGCAAGTAAAAATAAAATCAGGTGAAGATACAATCGTTTCCAAATAGAACGGCTGCCGAAGATTTAATCTACGGATCATTTCGTTTAATTAAATGAATAATATTCGATCGAAATGAAAATCACAGCAAATAAGTTCATGCATTGTTATATTTATCGGCGTTAGTTAATGGCAAAGCCCAGCTGATTATTACACACTTGTATATAAATGAGATGTATCATTATCAAGGGGGAAGCTTCGTTCTTTGACAGCATAGATTTACATTTGGCTTGTGGCATCATAGACCATTGACCAAGCAAACACTTGACACATTGGCAACATGGCTACATATTGAAAAAGAAATGTGTTATCATTATCAACATCTTGCATATGATCCATTTTCAAAAGGAGCTATATGATCATATTTGTTGTACAATATTTTTGGGGTATGACCACCGGTTAGGCGAATATGCATGTTTTACGTCAAACTGTTTCGTTGTCTTTATGGGTTATGAAAATTATAGTGGAATTAAATCCATTATATGCCCAATTGTTTACTCCACGAGTGTTTGTAAATCCTGCTACTTCGTCTGACTGTTAGACACCCTACCCTAACAAGTTGGAAAAATCTGACCAGGGGGGTGTGTCTCTTTTTACTTCTAATTGCCGTCGCCAAATCAAAATTAAAAATATTCGATTCCATATTTATGACGTGACACATATATATCTAATTTATAAGTATTGCATAGAGTTGAAAGAATACTTGCTGCGTGAGGGGTACACAATCGACGATTGTCTATCTACATTTTTCCCAATAGAATCAACAGTCAATTTTGAATTGTGTTTTTGTTCTTTTCTTTTTTTTCATTTACTAATAAGAATGAAAATTGGAAGTTGTTCCCAGGAAACTTAAACTAAAAGCGCAAGTTAGGAATTGATCGTGTCGCCGCATGAATGAATTTGCTTAAACAAATCCTATCCATCGCGAAATTGGCCAAATTCCCATGCACGGCTCACACAACGTTCCACGTATCAGCCCTATAGAGGACACATGTATCACACGTGTCTTAAGCTCATGCTAAATAGGGTTGAGTGTCCCTCTAGTGAAGCGACACGTTTCAGGTTGTCCACCCTCCCAAAATCTATATAATCAGTCCGAGGGCCTTACAAGCCTAAACGACAGAAAGCGATCAAAAAATACATATTGTTGTTACTCCAAAAAATTTGAGTAGAAGCGAAGGTAAAAAAAAAAAAATCAGTGAGGAAGAATGCAGAACATCAAGGAGAAAGCCGCAAATGTTGCCGCCACGGCGAAATCCGGCATGGATAAAACCAAAGCCGCTGTCCAGGAGAAGGTACTCCTCCATTCTCCATACTTTTTTTTTTCTTTTGTTTACCTTTGGTGGAGTTTTGAACTGTATACTGAATTTTTAAAAAAAATGTTTGATTTGATCCGAACAAAAACAGGTGGAGAGGATGACAGCCCACAACCCAACGGAGAAAGAGATGGCGACGGAAAGGAAAGAGGAAAAGATCAACCAGGCCGAGTGGAACAAGCGGGAGGCAATGGAGCATAACGCGGCGGCGAAGCACGCCAACACCCACACCGTCGGCGGGAATCCGCACACTTACACCGCCACAGGACAGCCAGGACACACCGCAGCCGCCGGGGCGGGTGGTCCTCACACTTATTCCACCACGGGCAAGCATGGACACCCGACCGGGACCCACCAGATGTCGGCGTTGCCCGGACACGGCACCGGGGAGCCAGCCGGGAATGTGGTCGAAGGAGTGATCAAGTCGCACCCGATCGGGACCGCCACCGGGACGACTAGGCCGAGCGCGGCTCATAACACTCATGTGGGACCGGGTACCAACCAGGGTTACGGCACTGGTGGTACTTACAGTTAATTTTGGCGGTAAATTTCGCGTAGGTTTCCAGTGATAAGCGTCTTTGTGGCCTATGTTTGCCCTGAATAATAAAAAAACAAAGGCACTAATCAAATGAGGATTTTCAAGTCCTCGGATGTGTTTAGGACTTTCAGGCTTGTAATTTGTATCTTTTCTACAGTTCCTTGTGCTTTTCAATGATCAAGGGAACTGTCTGTCTTGTGGTTTTTTCTTTTTTTCTTTTTTTTTTTGCCTTTCGATAGTTTTTTGAGTTTCAAAAGCCCTTAGTGTGAAGTTTGCTGCCTGATGTTACACATCCTGTACCAAAAGCGGGAGGATTTTCCCCTAATTCAATGCACAAGAATAAAATACCAAACATTTTGAAGAGAGAGACAAACATTTACATTCATTATGGCAGGCCACTGCAAGTTTTTCCTCATTAAACTAAGTAGCAAGCCTGTTGCTGCAGTAACCCAGGTTCTGTTCGATCATGCATATTCACAAATAGTAGCAACTTCTAAAAATCTGTACTTTGGATGGAGCAGCTACAAACGTGCACTATCATTTTTTTGTATTATGTTCCACTGTTCAGCCCAGATTTACATGAAAGTGTTCCAAAAATGTTACCTGATCCTATCACCTACAACAGATTCAAATGCAAGGGACTCGACAAAAACTATACAACAGCAGTTATTGCCGTGAAAAAAGAGCACCTCCTCTGTTTGAATGGATATCCGCAACAAAATGCTGATCGACATCATCTGTACGACTAGGACATCATATGATTGTCAAGGGTGTAAGCATTTATTTCAGAAGGGCTGGTTCCAGGCCTGCAAACCACCACCACCACCAGGAAAGAAGTCAACAAATCATTCTTAAATGGATCTTGATATGAATAGGTTAGAACTACAGGGAGATTAAAGCTATGCAATCACATATATCTAGAAGACGAACACACAACTAAAATTTGTACATGTGGTCTGGTTTCATAATTCAATAAAACTGTGTGGACAAGAGATTGACAGAGTACCCATCTTTCTGATATTACATTAGCCATCTTCTTCATGTTAACAATCTGACGCAGTAACATGCATCACAACAAATCACCAACAAATTTGTCTATCCGATTACTACACAAGAATTTCATTATATCGAACCCAACAAAACTCATGGCTAAACAAAGTGGGAAAGCAACAGCTGTAAAGATCAAAATCATTCTACAGCCCTGAATATGGTCCAGAGATGAGCGCTCAAAGATAAATTGTTGGCTTCTCCAAGCTATGGATCCCATCCAAGAAAGTAATCGGGAAAAATTCTGTACGCAAAGGAGATAGGAAGTACAGAAATAATCCACAACTTATGGTCAGTTATTTCAAAAAGCAACCTATCAAAACAGTAACTTGCAGCTTCACTACTTCACAACAAACTTAGTACAGATGAAGTTATAAATGACCAATATAATTACTAACAAATACCAATCAGGATACCTAGAGCTTAATAATGTATATTTGGTCCTCAGCTTCTCAAAGAACAACAAATTACGAGGATAAAATAAAAATGCAAGATGATGAAGTGTACAGTGAATACCGTTTCCTGATAATGCCATAGTGAGACCTGAGTCTTCCAGCTTGTCGATCTTCAATATACTACAAAACACCCAAAAAAAAATGAAAATACAACGCAAGAAGATGCAATTGAAGTTTGTACTATGTGCAGAACAATCACATTATGTTTTAGCATCATACCAGTTTCAGGGTAACTAACATAGATGAAAATGACAAGGAATCAAAAGGAATTTCATCAACAGCAAATAGCTGGCATTCTGATGATTCTTCACCAGGTGAAAATCCCGGTCTCTTCAACTTGGCCAGAAAGATAATGTAAGTCTGTCACATTGATGATGCACATTAGCATGTTTCCCTGGTAAGTACATAACTAGTTTACAGAGCAGACAGAAGAAATACTGCCTTACTTGGCCAATCAGAGGAATATCTAAGTGAACAAAGGGCGCCAAGATTTCCACTTCTGCATTTGCCTCTTCCCAAGTTTCCCTAATTGCTCCTTCAGCTGCAGACTCACCCATCTCCATATATCCCGCTGGAAGAGTCCTATATGAATGAAAACAACAAAAGAATTCCCCAATGAAAATTTATATAACAAAACCTTCAGCTAGAGAGGGGAGAGGGGGGGATATTCTGCAAAATGAAATCCATGAAAAATTAGTGCATACCAAAGCCCATACGAAGGATGAATCTTTCGCTTGCATAGCAGTACCTTATCTTCATGCTCAATCAAGCAACCTACAACCTAATGTTCAGAAGTTTGAGAAAGTAGTCAATTGAAATGCGGATAAAACTCTGAAGAAGATTTAAGCTCTTGATATTATTAAATATAAACTGTTAAAGCACACATCTAGGTTTTCAGAGTAGCGTTCACATTAACTAAATATGACATGTCAAAGTAGTAAAAGAAGTTACTAGGAAAACATGTTTTGTGTACTCAGAAAATAATCCAGTAGTAGCACATTTAACAGCTCTTCTTTCATTCTTGGGAAGGGTTAGGAATGAAGAGAATCATGTGCCACTTTCTAGAGTCAAAGGTTGTTTTGCTAATTAGTGTATTGCAATGTGCAAAAATGACTATATTTATAGGGAATTCAACTGATTTTCCTGTTTTATCATGCACCAACCTTAACTAGGAGGCCAGCTAGGTGAACCCTGAACTTCTTGTTAACTCAATAAAATAATTTCAAATTCATATAATCCTTTGCGATGACAAAACTGGAAAAAACTTCATGAATGGTTGAATCACCCGACATAAAGAGGAAAAAGAACAACAGAAGGCAGACTCCAGTAGTACAACAATCCTACTGACAGCCATATCATGATTGGAGATCAAAGTAACATTTGCCTGTATTCCCCGATCAAAACACCATGATAAACTTTGGACCATAAGAAACAAGCAACTTCCACACAAGTCAAATAAAGGACAGTTCTTAGTGCTATCACTTATCAGGCTCACCTACCCTAGAACCTATTTTTACTATCGTATCCAAATGAAATGCAAAAATGAACTGATACAAAGCAACTGAAGGGTGAAAATGCCAGAAAGTACCATCAGGTTTTATTTTCTTTTCACCGAAACAGGTAGGCATAAAAATGAGACAGCGGTAAAACTCATTCCTATATTATTCCAGACAAATGTGAAGGACTTTAATTGTACAGTGTCAATTGAAGATCCCCAGCGTGAGGTGCAATTTAATGCAAATCATGTTCATTAAAAACTCAGTTCTAAATAGCTGCCTCACTATCATTTTTTCTAGCACTATCTAGCAACTTTAGGGCACATAGTTCCATACATCATGTCGAAATATTAACCGAAGTCCACAACGAATATGTACAGCTTAAATGTGATAAACACACATGTCAGCAATCAGATATTAAGTACAAGAGTTTTACCATTTTTGGATTCTCGTATGCAATCCTTCCACAGGATGTGCAAATGGCCCTCATCTTCTCCTCCCCATCAGGCACCTCATACTTTGTTGCGCCACCACAAGACTGACAGAAATTGATCTTCCGACTGAACCCCTGCAGAATGTATAAGCATAAACCAACTGTCTAAGAAACTAAAAATGCAAAAGATGACAAAGAAATGGGAATTTATTAATGATGTGTCGGTCAGCATTTTGATGGTTAGGATTCAGTTACTTCACAGCAATAGAAATAAAGGGATCCACACTCACACATTTTCACCTATTATAAAACTAAGTTGCAATCAAGAGCTCATTAGAATAAAAGGATAAAAGTTGAAAATTAGAATCAATCGAGCATCATTAATTCGTCTTTCCCACATAACAAAGAAAGTGGACATCTACAATGAAAGAAAATGACTATCAATCATAACAAATAATTCCACCTCCAATCCGAATTCAGAACACGCATAACAATAAACAAGAACATTTGTCATCCGAGAAAACAGAACCCACTAAAAATCAGAAACATAAATGAAATGGAACATGACGCCCCCAAATTCGCAAAAAAAAAACCACTATTCACCGCCATTACAAAATATAGGGTAACTTTAACATCAAAAGTATCTTTCCAAAGCAATTCCGAGAAGATTTCAACTGAAACTTACAGCTGAAGAGTGAATCGCAACTGAAGACGATGAACGGCCATCTGGATTGGAGTGACTATGGGAATGAGACATCCCAAAAACTCTGAAATTCGAAGAACGGGATTGGTGATTCTTCTTAGTGACTTGGAGAATAAATGGGGTTGTTGATTTTCCGGATGAAACTGATAAATTTCTGGCGGTGGCAATAGATTTTCTTGACACAAAAGAGAGCCCACCACAAATACAATTATGACGATGGTGATTGGATGCCTTCTTCTGCAATTTCTGGGAGAAAGAAACCAACCCAGATGACGAAGAAGAAGATGAGCCAAGAATCTGTATAGCTTTTAGCATTATTGACAGAGTTCTAGTATTGTAATCTTGTGTTACAGTATAGAGTGGACTTCTTTCTGTAGGATGGCTTTGTTAGTTTGATACAACTGTAGTAATAATTGTTTGGAAAATGGTTCGCTTAGATTTAGTAACGGAATTTTGGCAAACTGATGATTAATGATGTTTCCAACAACTGGGCTTAGCTACAATTTTGGACTTCAGCTTACCGAACCTAACTAGCAGTTTCAGGCCCAAGTACAGTTTTCCTTTTTAATGAGAAAAATATTTCTCGCAAAAAAAATTAGGGCAAACTACATTTTAACCCTCGAGTTTTGGCCTCTTAACCATGTCCCCCTCGAGTTCTTATAATACTACCAATACCCCCTTAACCTAACGTCAACTTACAAAATACACCTCGGTGACCGGAAAGTGATGCAATATGATGATGTCGTCAAAGAGTTTTATGTGAACTGACATTGATACCCTTTCTGCAAGTGAGCACCTCTATTTCGTTTTTGTTTTTCAATTTTTTTTCTAATAGCAATTACTTTATTTAATTATTTTTGGACATTATATTATGTTGACTATTATTTTCCAGGATGTTTTTAACAACAGTTTTTCTTCAAACATATGTGAGAGCATAATAAATTATCATTGCCAAACATAGTTGCTGAACAATATTCTTGTTTCACCATTAGATATTATCATCTCAAATTTGATGAATAAAACATATAAAATTCAACATTAACGATCCTAACCCATAACTAAAATTTCACGAATTTCGCCATCCGAATAATCAACTAATTTGCTCAAATAGAATTCTTTCTCAAGAGCGGAAATTTTGCCATCAAGAAAGAAGCCACCAATACTTTTTTTTAAAAAAAAAAAAAAAATTTACTTTTATCGCTAAAAACTCGATTTTTCTCCACTGTATCAACATCACAAATTGCGGTAAAAGCAAAGAGAATGCAGAAGAAAAGAGAAGATGAACTTCAATTGGAATTACGAGTTCCACCGCCATGGATTTGTTTGTATTTGAATTTGCCAGGTAGATCTAAAGAAAAACTTATACTCCCTCTGTTCCAAAATTATTGTCCAGTTTGGATTTTCATTTCTAGTTCAAATTTTACTAAAAGTGAAATCTCAAACTAAACAATAATTTTAGGACAGAAGGAGTATATGTCTAATGATTCGAACATGGCTACTACAAAAACGAAGGTGTCGATGGCGAAACTCATCGACGATGGAATCTGAGATATTGGTAACAGTGAATCTGGGTGGGATCGAATCTTCACGGCTTCTGTGATGGTGTAGCGAGGCAGAAGTGGTGTGAGTGGAAACTGGAGATAAGGGAGAAAAAAAGGATGGTGATACACTGGAGAGATAATGGGAAAAAAAATGTGGATTTAATAAGAAGGATTAATATAAAATGTATATAAATAATGATGTTTAGCCCTTATCCATAAATTTCTTAAATTTAGCCGGAGTTAGTTATGGGTTTTTGGTCATTTAACTCGTTTTCAAATATTGACTTTTTCTTTCACTCTGTCAAGGGGATATTAGTAGTATTATAAAAACTCGAGGGGAACATTATTAAGAGGCCAAAACTGGGGGAGTGAAATGTAATTCACCCAAAAAATTAATTCCAAGTACAGTTTTTGTCTACTAACAACAAGCGAACAAATGTTTCAAAATTTTCAGATAAATGGTGCATCGTCTCGAAATTCTAGTATTTATTTTTGGATATAAGGCCTTATTGAGCCAGCATGAAGAAAAAGGTCTCATTGGAAGCAAAAATAATGCATTCCGGCAATTTTATCTCTACAAAGAAACATGTCTTCATAAAGACCAAAATTATACAACCCCACAAAACCATACATGGTACAAAAGAGATGTTGAATGATAAATTGATAATACAGGTGGCTACAGGAAATGATCCACTACCCTACTTATTCTTCAACAGGGGGTCTCTAAATCCTCATCATTTTCTTGCCGTAATAGTAGCATTACACTGCCCTAGAACTCTAATCCCTAACTAAATCTCTGAACAGATAAATCAAAATCTAATACCTTTCATTGCTTGCGCCGAGTGAGACTAATTTACAGCGAGCTTATCACATAATGACTGATATGCTGCACTGCAGAGCTTGAATTTCTCCTCCGCAACAGCCTGTGCATGGGTATCATCAAAGTTATTTATTAGTTTAATGCAGTAAATACTAGGAGAATCAATATGCAACTGTTCTTGTATAAGTGATCACACAATAGCAAGTTCACACAGTTGATTGAGTGAAGGAGAAATTGCAATTATTAAGGGAACCACCATTCTTGCATCAACAGAAAATAGGCTTTAAAACCAAAAATCACATCGGTGAAGGGAAAGAAAGGCCCCCTTTTCAAGAAAATGGTTGAATATCAACATATTCAACAACCATGACCACCAACATCAGTAAGCAATTTAATAACACAAGTGAACATATAGAAATGCTGGCTGGTGGCTTCATCTCCTCAACAGCACCACAGCTTTCACAATGGCCTCATAGGTATAAAGTTTCTTCCATAACCTCAAAAAGAGAGAGGAGGGATTTAACGACTAAAAGGCAAAGATATTGATACCTTGGAAGAACCAGAATGACGATCTGGATGCCACTTCAAAGCACAAGCTCTATAACTGAAAGTAACACATCAGTTTTGAGTCAGGAAAAAGAACAATTTTTCACCACAAATTTGAGGGAAAAGATGAAGACATCATGCCAACATACGCATTTTTAACTTGGTCAAGACTTAAAGGCCCAGATGAATTCAGTCCAAGGGCAAGTCTATCTGATGCCAAATCTGAGTCCGAATCATCAGACTCCGTTTTTTCCCTGTGGCCATGACCCCAACTCCACTGAAACCTTTGGTAATTAGAGTGTCGTGATGAGTCCCCCCAGTGTGGGATATCATCATTTATAAAGGAAAAGAAAGTGTAACCGGTTCCACCAAATGCAGATTTAAACATTTCCTCAATGTCAGGATCATCATCATTATCCATAATAAACTGATAATCTGTTGGAAAGAAGAAATGGACATAAGGAGCATACCAATGAAAGTAACGATAAACACAGAGAATTTAACCTCTGGAATGATTCAGTGACTGCATGGAGCACATAATAATTTTGACAACATTACCAATTCTATTCGCTAGAAAATGTAAATATATAAAAGATGTTTGCATCTTTTAATCTGCGCACATTAGTCAGTGAGCCATGGAACTGGATGAATCAACAGTTTCTATTATTGCTCTATCAATAATAATGTAGTACTTTCCATATACAAAAAGGTCAAACAAACGAGAAGACGGTCTTACTTTTACTCCATGCCTTTCTTCCCCTGTTTCTTGACTTTTCCCCTCTTTGTCCATCATTCCTAAACTCCTGTCTAAACCATGAGCTGCTCCGGTTTTGAGGTGGATCATAATCGTCATCCACATCATATTTCCAGCTCTGATATGAAGAGAAGTTTTATCAGGAAAAAATATTATCCACAATAATAAAAGGGTCAATAATAATATAACTGATAAAGAAAACAATACTGAATCATCAAGTAATTATTAACTATCCAAGGTTTCCAGCACATTTACAAACGTCTGTGACAAGAGTACGCTTCAGCAAACACAGTTGCAAACACGAAAACATAGGCAACAGGAAGGACAGAGAAGTAGAATATTGTTTGCTTGCTAAACAAAATAACGTAGGTTTTGTGATGAATCCATTAATCAATCTTTCCACATTAAGAACCTTTAATAGAGACCACATAAATCTAGTAGGGGTGAGTTTCAAACAGAGGACAAGGGCGATGATCTTAATATACAGCAGAACTAATGAAAATGACTAGCATACGAATGTGTACTATCAGCTAAATTAACCTTAGAATAACGGAAAGATACTCCCAAAACTTTTTTATTAACAAGGTATTCCTGTAAGTAGATTACAAATCCAATTTCCATCACTAACACAATAATTTGGCTCATACTCTTCCTTTTGAAAAGACATACAACATACATAGACGCTTATATAGCTAGATGCCCACACATATCATTCTTTTCCAGAGTTTGATTTAACCACTAATCCCATCACTGAACTCAGGACTTCCCAATCAGAGAAGGGAATCAAAATCACACTCCCAATCAATGGGAAGTAAACAACCCCTCCACCCCCCCCCCCCCCCAAAAAAATAATAATAATAATAATAACAAAAAAAACAACAACCAACAACAAAGTTTTGTGTTAAAAAATATTTTGCAAAGAGAGCAACTATAGCTTCGACAGTCATCAAGAACCTGAAAAAGTTCCTCAGCAAATGAGCTGACGTTACGTAACAGCTCCCTTTTGGAGAATTGCTTCCTAGCTCTTCTGCTATAGTAGTTAGACCTCTGCACCAATAATTTCAACTCAATTGATGTATTTACTCTTCATAATGGAAGATGTACACGAAAATAAACATACTGAATGGGACCAAAAAAATAAAAAGATATAAGCATTTGTAACTGAAGAATAATATGGATAACTCAGCCAGTAACATTAAATAAATCCAATGCCAGAAGAAATAAACAAACCTATGGTAAGATCAAATTTTACCAAATGTATATACTACCCAGCTTAGATAACAATATCAAAATAGTTACGGACACTGACAAGCTCAAAAAGAGCTGCTCAACTCTAAATAAGGGGAAATGCAAAGTGAAATTTTCCACCTTTGCTCAAAAAAGAAAAAACAAGACGAACTAGATATACTTAAAAGGGGTAAAATGAGAAACCAATAGATGGAATAGATGCACTTCCAGACACTAGTACATCAAACAATAAACTAAAACCATCTTAATTTGATAAAGCTTCTTCAGCAACTGAAAATTTGTTGTGTGACCATTTTTCCCTTAGTCTTTTGGGATTGGAACCAGAAACAGGATCCAGATATTTACTCTAGAGAGCATCAATGGATTCAAAGTGATTAAACTTGCTTGTAAAAGTCTCAGCAACCCCCTTAGGAACAAGTTCAATTTGTGAACATTCTCAGAAAAAACCAACAGATACGGCAAGTACGCATTATAATGTACACATTCTTAACAATTTCCTGACCATCAAAATCTTGCAGACACACTTATGTGGAAAAAAAACATTTGCTACACAATGCAGTTCTAATGCGAATTCCATTTCGAACAGTAAATTGTCTGTATAATTCACCTTTGATTGACCAGTCCACCCTCGTTGTCCTCCTCCTACTCCTCCCTGCAGCAAATAGCAAAAAAATAAACAATGAACCAAATAAGGATTTTAATTCGGGCAAAAATTCAACACCAAAACAAGATTTTAAACATGAAACCCGAAAAAACAGATCGATTGGCAACATTAATAAGCATCAATTAGCTCGAGACATCCTCATCAGCATACCATCCAAAAGAAAAGATATATAGAAAAAAAGAAGAAGCCCAGTTCCAGCATATCATCCAGCAGAAGAGGATACGCATAATTGTATTGTTAATCCGTAAATTTTATCAAAACCAACAAAGAAAAGAGGAAAAAGAAAACGAAAAGAAACGAAGAAGCCAAGTTCCAATTAAAATGAAAAGAGTACCAATCTTCACTCTTTATAAAATTAAGGAAGAACCAATTTCAAATTTCTCAAAAACCAAAGAAAAGAAAACACGAAATTCGTAAATTTGAACATGATTGCAATCACAAATGTTCAAAAAGTGAAGAGGTGGGGGACTTACAGAATCCCACTGAGTTCGTTTCCGGCGTTCCAGAACGCGAGTAGTGTGGAAATATGAAGCCTGAATCTGAAAAGGGCTGTTCGCAGAAGAGTAGATTATTGCAGCTGTTCTGATTTTATTCATTGCCTAACTCATGAATTTGAGAAAGTAAATGTCCCGGCGAGAGAATGAAGTGAGGAAGAGAGAAACTGGGGAAGAAGTAACAAGGAATTTGTGGTGGGGCTTATTTGTTGGGTTTGTGAAAAATGCTGATCGTGAAGAATATGGGCCTCAGCCTATATTTTTAAACGGACTTTAGGTTGGATAGTAACCCAATAGATTCCCCTTTTTTCACCCGTTAAACTCTTCTTAACTTGAGTCCGTTTAGATTTTTGAAGTTTTTGTGTATTTATATGGTTCATGGTTTGTCCCCCCCCCCCCCTCCCCACACACACACACACACACACGTACACACACATACACTAGTGATGTCTGGTCGCGCAATGCGCGACCTTGGCCCAGTATATCTGTAGATCTTAGAAGTATTTGTATTTGAAAAAAATATATTTTGTATTTGACCCGATATATTTTAGAAACGTTCGAAGAATTTAGAAATGTTTTATAAGTGTGATCATAAAAATGTTTGTGTTTGACAAAAAAAAGAAATTGTATTTAGCCCGTTACGTTTTAGAAATGTTTGAAGATCTTAGAAATATTTTATAAGTGTTACTTATTAGATATAAATAAACTTGATCAAATATATGTCTTAAAGTAAATGTTAAACAAAATATAAAAGTATCCTAATAAGTTTAAATATTAGTAAGATGATTTATTGATGTTCTCCATTGGTCGTGCCAAATCAATACTTAGTTTTGGAGATTTATAATAACTTTGTAGTAAGCTTCCTCAAAAGGGTATACGCTTAAATGTTTGAACTGTTTCTTCCAAAGGTTTAAAGGTAGTAAAATATCAAAAAAATGGGTTTGAAACTGGTTAATTGTTTAAACAGGTTGATCACAAATATGAGAATGAAAATTAATGTAAATTTGCATAGGTTTCAAGTTATAGCAAAAAAGAACTCACCTCACCATGGTAAATAAAATAAAATAAAATAAAGTAAAAGAGCCAATTAAAAATTGAGAAATTATTTTTTTCCTTTAGGTAAAAATGATGTATAAAAACACAAATAAACGTAGAAACATCATTCCTTCTTTCTCCACCTCAAATTCATAAAAGACTTCCCCATAAATTAGTTAGAAGAAGTAACCTGAACTATTTATATGATGAGAAACTCAAAAAAGTCCAAAAACTAAATCCAAAAAAGTATATTCTTGAAAGCCCGAACACAAAAAAAAACGCGCTTCATTTGCCAAAAAAAAATAATAACAATAATAATTGGTCAACTGGGAGTATGAAATAAAATCAAAAGCAATTAAACAAAGAAAAAACACACTTTAAAACTGACCATATACGAAAAAAACTGAGATTTCATGATTAAAAAAAGAAAACCACTCTAATAGAATGAAACATAAAAAAGAAATTTAAAAAACCACACTTTGTAACAAAAATCCAATTAAATTTCACATATAATGATACATATTATGATCACTGAATGGCCATGGCTTTCTCTCTTGTGACATGTATAGAAGCACCTGTTACTGTGGATTAATAATGGTATTTAGCAGTTTCACGATCATGTAATAGTGTTCAATCTTTGTGGGGTGAAAAAATAATATTTATTAGTAAGTGATGGATATGTTAAGATGCTTCACACCCCATGATTAAGTTATACACACTAAATTTTAATTGGTTTTATTTAAACTGAATGGTTCAGTCAAAAATCTATGACTGGACCATAGAATTTCTCTATATATATACTAACGATGTCTGGTCGTGCAATGCGTGGTCCTGGCCCAATATATCTGTAGATCTTAGAAATGTTTGTATTTGAAAAAAAAATATTTTGTATTTGGCTCGATATATTTTAGAAATATTTGAAGAATTTTAGAAATGTTGTATAAGTGTGATGTTTGTATTTGGCTCGGTACGTTTTAGGAATGTTTGAAGATTTTAGAAATATTTTATAAGTGTTACTTCTTAAATATAAACAAACTTGATCAAATATATGTCTTGAAGTAAATGCTAGACAAAATATAAAAGCATCCTAATAATTTTAAATATTAGTAAGATAATTTATTGATTTTCTTCATTGGTTGTGCCAAATCAATACTTAGTTTTTGAGATTTATAATAGTTTTGTAGTTAGCTTCTTCCAAAGAGTATACGCTTAATTGTTGGAACTATTTCTTCCAAAAGTTTATAGGTAGTAAAATATCAAAAATATGATTTTGAAACTAGTTAATTGTTGAAACTGGTTGATCACAAATATGAGAATGAAAATAATATAAATTTGCATAGGTTTCAAGATATAGCAAAAAAGAACTCACCTCACGATGGCAAATAAAAAAAAAGTAAAAGATAGCCCATTAAAATTTGAGAATTTTTATTTTTTTCTGTAGGTAAAAATGATGTATAAAAACACAAACAAACATAGAAACATTATTCCTTCCCTCTCCACCTCAAATTCATAAAAGGATTCCCTATAAATTAGTTAAAAGAAGCGACCTAAACTATTTATATGATGAGGAACTAAAAAAAGTCTAAAAACCAAATCCAAAAAAATATATTCTTGAAACCCCCAACACAAAAAAAGAAACGTGCTTCATTTGCAAATAAAATAATAATAATAATAATAATAATAATAATAATAATAATAATAATTGGTCAACTGGGAGTATGAAACAAAATCAAAAGTAATTAAACAAAGAAAAAACACACTTCATAATTGGCCATATACGAAAAAAAACCTAAGACTCCATAATTAAAAAAAAAAAAACCCACTCTAATTGAATGAAACATAAAAAACAAATTTAAAAAACCACACTTTGTAGCAAAAACCTAATCAATCAATTCAATCCAAACATAACTAAAATCATACAAAAATTCTAGGCTAACTAACCAAATAAGAAATCACGTCATACTACCTGACAACGGCTACGGTAGCTGTAACGGATGGACACATAAAAATAATAGTAATAACACTATTTTTGAACGGGAAAAACAAAAAATAATAAAAACCAAACCAATGATCTCTGGAAATAAAATCATTTAAATTTTAATACCTGCAATGGCACCACCACAACGGCCGAAGCAAGAACAATGAGAATTTTTTTTTTCCTTTGTGTTTATATAGAGAGGTAAAGAGAATATCTTTTGAAATTGAAATTTTATCCGATTAAGATGTAGTTGATCATCACTAATGAAAAGATTGAATATGCTAATAGGAAAGGAGTATATTTCACCACATATTCTCAATTGATGATTGATGGGGAATATTTTTTTTTTTTAATTGTGGAGAAGGGATTGATTAAGGAGTCGATTGTCGTGGAGATGGGGATGAAGATTTGGGTTTTTTATGAACCCGTGATTTTTTGTTTTTGTTTGTTTTGACGAAAATAGGAGGTGAAAGTGAATTTAGACTGCATTTACCTTTTAAATTTAGGAGATATGGTAATAAAAAATTTATTTTAAAAATATGATATGAAAATGTCACATTGACAAATAATGGTGTTTTCTCTTAAGTATATTTTTGTTCCTAATATAGTAAGATATATCCTACTATATTAGAAACAAAAACCTTCCTTTCAAACACCTCATATGATTGCCACGTGGCATGTAAAAAATACTAAATTACCCTTTTGTCTAACCATAAGTAAATTACTAAATCTCCCTTTGCACTTTACGTGACACGTTTTTTTTTTTTTTAATTTTTTCTTTATGTTTCATTCAATTAGAGTGGTTTTTTAAATTGAATTGATCAATTAGGTTTTTTGTTACAAAGTGTCAATTTTGTTTTAAGCGTATACCCTTCGGATGAAGCTTATTACAAACCTATTAAAAATCTCCAAAACTAAGTATTGATTTGGCACGACCAATGGAGAACATCAATAAATTATCTTACTAATATTTAAATTTATTAGGATGCTTTTATATTTTATCTAACATTTACTTCAACACATATATTCGATTAAGCTATTTATATTTAATAAGTAACACTTATAAAACATTTCTAAAACATACATGGCGAAATACAATTTATTTTTTTTTTTTTTGCGAAGTACAAATATTTCTATGATCACACTTATAAAACATTTTTAAATCCTTCAAAAATTTCTAAAATATATCGCTCCAAATACAAAATTTTATTTTTTTCAAATATAAACATTTCTAAGATCTACAGATAGACTGGGCCAGGGTCGCGTATTGCGCGACCAGACATCACTAGTATATACATACACTAGCATAGGTACCGCATGAGATGCGGTCTTACAGACGACTTACCCGGGTTAATCCTAATCCTCCTCGCCTAAAACTTTGTATGCTCTCAGTTTTTTCTATCCCTTTGATCAATCAAATCTGTTGCCGATGTCATTCCATCATAAAAACTTTTTATGCTCAAATTGCAAGCAAAAAGCAGGTAGTCAATACTTCTGATATAATTATTGGAATTCAAATTTAGCTATTCCAAACACAAAGTAGGGTGTTTATAATAATCGCACAAAAAAAAGCATCATCAATGAACGCAAAAAATTACAACATTTTAGTACAAAATCCAAAAAACGACAATTTCACACATAAATTAATCCCATATCCAAGATATAATTAATTATATTTACAGAATAAAAATATATATGAAACTGCCTATTTACTTTTTGGTAAGTTCAGAAAAGTATGCATACTCTTTCCCAACAGTCAAGACTATACGCAAATGCCAAATAGTCTTATAAGAAACTCCAAAAATAATCAAGAATTACAGGCTAATTATACCTTTCCAAAAATAAAAATTAGAAACTTGATGGCATTGCATACTTTCTTTTCCCTTTGAAACCAAGAATTATATAGTTGGCAGAGTACACTGGTGCTTAATCAAATGAAATAAAATTGCAGGAGTCGAAATGATCCACTGTAAAGTGATTTTACATACTGCTGATGATGATGGTAATCCTTCATCATTGCATCTCTTGAATCCAGCAAATGGAAATGATGAACTGGATGTGCAGAAACAGATGGAGTGTAGAAGAGTGA